TCTGATCAGTTCTACCCGTGAAGGGAAAGCTGCATCTCCCCCTCCCTATTAGCTGTCCTTGTGGGCTATTCCTCGGGGGGGGGGGGCTGATGATTCTAGCACTCAGCTACCCCCTCATGGTTCCTTCACTGCCATGGAAAGTGGTGTTCGGTCTCCATGAAGGTTTCAAGTACTCTAAATACCAGCTTCGGATGGATTTACGGACACAGTAGAAAAGAATGACCGTGGGTATATTTCAAAATGCCTTGTCTAAGTTTATCTCTGGAGAAGGAGATAAAAAGGGGGATTTGTAGAGTTATATTTGTATTTATTCATGTTAGCAAACTATGGATAAGCTTAAAATGGGAATAATTTGGGTAAAACTGTGAGCTGCATTTGGGGCCTGTTGACATGTGTTTTTGAGGACAAAGGAAGATGGGGGAAGGTGAGAGCATGTCCTGATTTGCATTCAACTTAGAACGAGCTACAGTGGTTGTGATGTTAAGAGAGGTCCCTTGGGTTTCTCTGGTGGTTATCAACAGTAGCAGTTAAGTGAATACTGTTCAAACAATACCTGTGTTTGTGTTTTATATTGATTTCTCTGTTTTATCCTTTCATAAATGTAAGGACTACAAATGGCTATAAACATTCTGGGCTGGTTGGAGTAAACAGGGTTTTATAGCTCTGTGGGGGAGGTGTAGGTATGCAGGCCTTGAGACCTTTTGTTGGAAAGTGAGCCTGTTTGGTTTCCTGCTGCGTTTCCTGCTGCGTTGCGTCTCCCAATGAGATGACCTGAAAAGATGACCAGCTGACCTAACACCAAACCCCTCCTTCTTACTCTGGTATATATCCGGTGGATCCCTGGCGTTCGGCCTCTTCTTCACATGCTGCGCTCGGGTGAAAGTAGCTCTGCAGTATGCGGACTAGAGCAGGAGTAAGCCGGCATTACTCCTTAAGCATTGCAATATAACTGTAATATATCATGTTGTATTGTAATGATTGTATTGCATTGTCATATTGCCATTAAAGTAGATTATTGTTAACGGTTACTTTGTAGATATGGATTCCTTCCTGTATTATAACCAGCTTCATAGGAACGCGCGGAGATTTGAAAAGCGGACCAGTTATCCCTCCAAATCTCCAACATTATCCACGCTGTTGGCTCTGTCACTGGCGTAAGGTTGCCTGCTTTCACATGTTTGTCCAGCTCTTCCTTAACCCGGGATTTTAGCGCTACAGGGACATTTCGTGGTGAGCACTGGACTGGTGTCACTTCAGGGTTCAGATCGAAATGAATATTACCTGGGACTGACTCGATCGGGTCATGGAAAACATCATGAAAGTCTTTCAGTAGCATTTCTTTTGTGAGTGGCATAGACTGGCTTGCATCAATAGTGTTCACCTCCGCTGGCAGTAGTTCTCTTGGAATAGTGAATTTCACAAGGCCCAGATCAGTGCATGCAGCACCACCCAGCAGGGGCTTTTGTTTGGTGTTCACTATCTCAAACACAAGTCTGTGTATTTTCCCCCTGACCACACAGTCAGTGTGAAATTTCCCCAGGGATGGCATGTATGTATCAGAGTACAGCTTTAGCCTTGTTCTGGTCGGCTGTAAGGCTGTCTTTGGTGACAGTTTCTCTTTAAACTGGCGGCCCATAACATTGCAAGTGGCCCCTGTATCTAGCTGGCATAGCTGTCTTTTCTTATTCAGGTGTAGGTGTACAAACCATTTGCGTCCAGGTGCTTTCACATTCCCCACATATTCAGTGACATTGTATAGGTTTTCACTTGTATCCGAGTCCCCTTCAGTTTGCTGTACATCCTCAACAACATTAACTTTTCTTGTTTTCTCTGCTCTGCTGCTGGCCTGACATACTTTTGCAAAGTGATTTGAAACGCCACATGCTCGGCAGGTCTTACCATAGGCTGGGCACTGCTCTCTGCCCCGTTTGTGTCCATTTCCACAGTATTTGCAGGTCCACTGCTGCTCTCTCTCAGCCGCTGTGTTTCTTTCAGCTGTTTTCCACTGTATTTTGCGTCGTCCGCCTTGCCTGTCCACCATAGAATTAATACTGTCCACCTGTGCCTGCGGGCTCTCAATAAGCCTCATGCGTGACTCCGTCAATTCTGCAAGGCGGCAAATCTCCACAGCTGTTGGCAGCGTTAGGTCCCGTTCACGCAGCAGTCTCCGTCTGGTGCTCTCGCTGGCAATACCGAGTACCAGCCTGTCCCTAATCAGTTCATCTTTTAGGTCACGGTACTCACATGATGATGCTTTTTCCCTCAGCTTTGTTATAAAGCTATCGATCGGCTCGTCCGGTCCTTGTTTGCAGCATCCAAACGTGTATCTCTCATAAATCACATTTTTTGCCGGCTTGAAATAATCCCCCAACGCATCCAAGATTGTTTTGGGGTCTTTCTTTTGTTCCTCGGTCAGCGTGACGTTGTGCATATATATATGCCGGCACTCGTTCCCCATAAGCCGTCTCAACGTGGCTGCCTGCACCGCATTCGTTTTTTCGGTCAGACCTGTAGCGAGCATAAAGTCCTCAAATTCTGCTCTAAAAACCTCCCAGTTTTTGGCTATATCACCAGACATATGCATGCCCTCGGGTGCCGGAATACTGTTTGTCGTCATGACGTGAGTTTTCTTGAGCTTTTAGTCCAAGAAGACCACTTCTGACACCATGTTTCAGTCTGCAGCTTTATTCCGTAACTCACAACTCCATTACATGTATATTCCCGCGCTTGCGGATATAGTACATCACAGTGTAAGCCTGTGTCAGCATGCAGTTTACTAAAGCGCCAACAGGCGTCACTATATAGCAGGCATTAACAGATGCCCATATCTGTAACACGAGGCTCCCCCCGTTGACAGTTTACGAGGGCTGGGTGCAGTCGCGGACTGGCCATCGGGACGAATACCGATGGGCCGGTACCGAAGTGGGCCGGTACCGAAGTGGGCCGGTCGGATAAATCACTAGCACATCCCCCATAGGCGGCGCGTGAGGCTCAGGTTTGGGAAGGCTAAATAACTTTTTTTACCTGACGCTACCCGCCTCCGGCGTCTATAGAAAAGAGATCAACTCAGTGTGCGGAGTTTAAATCTCTCAAGTCATATTACAGGATAAAGGAAATACAGTTTAAACTGCCGTAGGCCTATGCAGAGAAGTCGCCGACGTGTCGCACTTATCATTCATATTACATCATCAATCAGATCATCGATCATATAATATCATAATATATCATATATTTCCTTATCTGCCGTGTCTGGCCGTGCAACACTTACAGTGTCACATACTGTATGCAGAAGTATTATTTTTAGCAACACATTATGTTGACGAAACACTCGAGTCAAATGTAATTAAAGTCAGATCCACTCGTGTCTTAGACGTGAACGCGCTCTCAGCTGGTGAGAGAAACCCTGGCTTGATTTACCGAGTTGATAACCAGCGTCTTAGGACCACTTAGCGAGATCTCGTTTGTTAGTTTGTTGTTGTTAGTTTGTTTGTTACTCAAACATATCCAGGGTATGTTGAACTGGCTTCGTAGTACAGGGCACAGGTGGCTAGCAGCGCTAATGTCAAAGACACAGACATTGCATTATATTTGTATTTTACCAGGATGCAGTGACACAAATATTTACATATTTACATTAACTATCTACAGCACCCGCCGCCCCTGACATCCCCCACTCCCCCCGTTGACAACTTACTAGCGGTACCGAAGTGGGCCGGTCGAGAGTCCCGGGATGATTTTTAGTCCCATTCCACCACTGGCTACATGACCGTATGATCGCCCATATTGACGCACCTAATTCCTAAACTTCTAACAGATACAACATAAACCGATCCTTCAGCCTCATATGAGCTCTCAGACACGTTCAAAATGAAACTGTCATCGCTGTCTGAGCTTGCTGCTGTGTGCACCATCGTGCATTTACATGCAGATGCTGGGATCCTGAACGGTGCAGCTGGAGCGCTGTGCCCGCAATGACGTCACACGTAATTTGGCGGGACTTGAAGAATCCCAGAGAAGATCCAGAAAATGGTCAACATTGAAGGGCAGATTAATGGTTATCAAAGTACAAATATCCAAAATCAGTTCAGTAACGGTTTTCAAGGGGACAATATTTACTCAAATTGATGGGTTTGGATGATGGGGGAAACTCGTGTCACAGGCTCTTTAAATGCTCAACTATCTTCGTGGGCGAGTGACTGTGTGTCGCTGCTGTTGTGCTCTGGGTTTATGGAAGCTGTTTTGCAGAAAGCAAAATCGTAAAAGTGCTTATCAGTTGAAAGAAACTAAAAAGGCCCCACAGAGCTTTGTGAAACGGCATACTGTAAATGATTGCTATAAAAGACCCCTTTCACATTAAACTAAGTCGTTCCATTGTTCATCTAAATGTATTAGTGCAGCTTTAAGTGAGCCTATGTAACTATGGGCCAAAGGGACAATACTAAATGCTAGTTTCACAGCCATACAGTTTGCTATTAGCTACTGCTCATAGTGGACCAAAACTGGACTGGGACCCAGTACATGAAACAGCAGCTCTAACCACATTTAAATGTATAATACAAAAATGGTGTTATTCCTTCTTTGTAAAGTGACGTAGTTGCGCTGTAATGTCTTCTAACGCTGTGGTTTCCAACCGGGGGTACGGGGAACCCTAGGGGTACTTAAGATCAGGCAGGGATAAACACACAGCTACAACCGGCAGTTCAGTGAGAAATACATTTCTCATGGATTTATTTCAAATGAATAATTCTATGACACCAACCTATCTGCAGTGGCGGCACCAGTGCACCAAACAGGCCGGGAGTGTCAGTAGAAAGTTGGGTTGAATACAAATACAATGAGTATAATAAAATAAAACATGTAGGCCAATCATCACAGATGAGTGGGGAGGTACTTTCTGTTCTAACGCATGTAGCTGGAGACTATGGTGGCAGTGCAGTCACCCTGTAGCACTACACTGTGCTCTCCACTGACCCCTGTAGGTAGAGAAGGGGAACACCTACTTGAGCAGGGGCTTGTCCAGCATGGGGGAGGGGGTGAAGGCGCTGAGACAGCAGGTCAGCAGCAGCCAGCCCCTCAGGCTGCTCAGATCCTCCTGCAGGCCCCAGGTGTGGTAGGCCAGCTGGGCCAGGATCTCGTCCCTCAGGGGGGGCCGGCTCTGACCCCTCTCCACGATGTAGTTACCCAGCAGCTGCTCCTGCCAGCCACTCAGCTCCGACTCACCCGTAAACCGCAGGATCTGAGGAGAGAAGGGTCGGAAATAATAAACGGACAAATGAGTATGAAACAAATATAAACTAAAGTAATCACTCTGTACCAGTTTGTAGATGTCCAGGGCAGTTCTGTTATCTTCAGGCTCCAGGGGGGTGAGGGATCTCTGGAGGGGGCGTCCCTGAGGCTGGCACCATGTATCCTGAGGAGGACAACATATGAGGAAATCTCACAAAGACAGGAAACACAATCCCACTCCTTTCATTCAGGTGTAGGGCTGTTCCTGTATAAGCTTTGTTCAGAATAATACATCTTTGAACGTAAATGTAATCTGAGATTGAGTTTGATATTCAAGCCTCAATCAAACAGAAATAAATTGGTACAAGATTATTCTTGTTATTATATGCTTTTATAAAAATCCTTGTTTCCTTGAACCAGGACCGAATCTCCATAAATCTCTGTAAGACATTTATTTATTACATTTTTACATAAAGGGAGTGGATTGAAACGTTGAAATACTTTCCAATAACAACAACAACAACAACAACAACAACAACAACACAGTGTCAACAAAGTCCCTGGTAGATCATTAGCTAACATTTATGATCCAATGCTGTGCAATAAATACCTGAATATGTTCTAAATAGACATGTTTTTGTAGTATGTGCATGCCCTTTGCTCACCTTTAAGATGGACTTGGCATAGCGAGAGAATGGGTATCTGTCTACATCCAGAGGCAGGCTGAGCTTGTGTTGGGCCTTCACCTGAGGGGGGGCCACCTCTGTGACCCCCGAGCCATGCTGCTGCCCTGGTGGACAGAGATGGAACAACAATCACAAACTAAGCGCTGTGGCAGAACAGGAGGATTCACGTGTTATCTGATGCAATGTGATGATTATTACAAAGGTACCTGCTGCACTGCGGAGTCTGGCTGACAGCTCAGCAGGGATCTCCAACATCCCCACATCCTGAGGGAAACATAGAGCAAAGACGACCTCAGGAGAAACCAGACGGCTGGCCCTTAGATTTCTGGGAAATGTTACAGCAGGCTCTCTCTCTACGATATGGGATACATTTGATTTGCACTTACCATTCCTGGAGATACACTCTTAGTCTTTGTCACTGCCTTCACTTTATTCTTCTCATGAAATTCCTGAAATTGACACGCAGCAAAGTCAGTCCATCACACTGGGACCAGCAGGATTTCCTCTCATAATCTTAACGTTATATAATTCTATTTCTGGCGTCCTTCACCTGAAGCTTATTTGTTTCACTGAGTAATCCTCTTGATATCCAGGTAAACTCAACCCTCCCTCCTCTCTGCGGAGAAGCGTGTTCAATCAGACCTATTCTTAGACACACGTCCTGTTTTATACTTCTGCCCCTCCCTCAGGCGGTGGCCCGCCTCATACAGCAGGGCACGCAGTTCCAAGAGTCCAGGAAGTGTGTTTTTATCAGGAGCTTTACAGCTCACAGAGAGGAGTTCCATCAATGCAGCAGGGCAGCGTCACTCAGATGTGATTCATATGATGAACTCATCTCTGTCATTCCCAGTATTTACAGGGTGAGTAGTTTGTTTAAAGTAGGTATCGGACAAATGCCTGAAACCTGAAGTATGTATTTCAGATTACACATGTGCGTGCAGACATACTCATATAGCAAATACTCTTCTTTCATGCCATTTTTTATTCATACACTTAAATAAAGAGAATGGGTCTGTTCAAACACACACAGCCCCACCCTGCCTTACCTCCACAATGCCCGACCCACCCAAACCAAACAAGTGTGGCACAAATCAGAGTGACCCAAACGCACCCTGAGGCTCACTACACCCTGACAATATGTTACCAATTTATCAGTGGAATAATTTTGTTTTAAACGTGTCATGTAAAAACGATGTCATTTGGAACTCATATCAGGAGCATAGATGTGACAGATAACAGTGTTAAAGCAGATCATGTAATTCTCATTTGGAAAAAGTGACTCATATACGCAATTGTATATCCTGTGTTTCACTATGTTAGTAAACGAAGGATCCACACATGGTAAGAATTGGTCAGCCTTAATTATGGTTGGATTACATCTGGTGACACAAACCTATTGCTTTCTGTTGAACTGAACAGGGTACTTCAACAATATGAGTAACACATTGTTAATTTATTAGTAACATGCACCGCTCTTAAAGACTGACATGTTCATGGGGGTCATATTCATTGGGCTCCAAATGGGGTCTCAATATATATTGGTTTGAGGGCTACTGTTAGAATCAGTGTTGATCAGTTGGTACACCCCATAGGTGTACACTGAAACACAATTATTGTAAAGGCTTCCATGAAATGATATGTATTCTGACATTCATGTTCTCTGAGGATAATCCTAATGACTGCTGACCAGCGCCTCGAGCAGCATCAAAGTGTTCAGAGAACCCGACACATTGGCTTGGATCATTTTCACTCCTTGACCTTCCGTCTCAGCCAGATTACTTTTTTTTTGTCCAGACTGAACAAGGCAGTGGAGGATTTTAACTTTAACACAAGTAGTTTACCCTTAGTGTTGAACAATAGCACATATTGTAGTGGTAGATTTCCACTCAGTAAATGCACTCATAAGTCATTAGTAATCAAAAAACTGTGTTTAAATATTTAATTATGTGTTATTTGTCTTGCACTTCCTCCCTGCCTCAAACAAGGGGGAGTGGCTCGACTTGTTAGGTGTTGTGAGACTCACATTGGATTATTATTATGATGTGAGACAATGTGACTGGATTATAGACACTGAACCAAAACAGTTTGAACATTTAGGTGGAATCACATGACTGGAGACATAGATCAAGAAATCCTACAACAGTTATATCCAATGGAATGGACAGGGGATCAAAACAAGTTAAGTAAACACCGTCCACCAGGCGCCTTGGAGGAATGAGATCATCTCCTCTCACACATCCCTGAAACTGGCCCTCCCGCTGTACTTCTCGGAGACTTCAACCTCCAGACAGGGAAGATAGCTGAACTAACATCTCTGTTAACTGCCTTTGCTTTCTCACTGTCGCCGTCCCCACCAACTCATAAAGCTGGCAATGTCCTTGATCTCATATTCTCAAGGAACTGCTCTACTTCTAACCTCTATGTAAACCCGCTCCACACATCCGATCACTTCTTCATTTCATTCTCTCTACCCCTTTCCAAACTAATCTCTTCTCATCCTGCACCTGTCCGCCGTAACCTTCGTTCCCTCTCCCCCTCTACCTTTGCCTCATCGGTGCTCTCAACCCTCCCTTCCTCTGACTCGTTCCAACTCCTACCTCCAAACTCTGCTGCAGAAACTCTCCTCTCTACTCTCTCATCCACTCTGGACTCTCTCTGTCCTCTCACATCTCGGCAGGCTCGTCAGTCCCCTCCTGCTCCCTGGCTAAATGATGCACTGCGTGCTAATAGAACCGTCCTTCGGGCAGCAGAGCGGAAATGGTGGAAATCCAAACACCATGACGACCTCCTAACCTATCAGGCTTTCCTCTCCTCTTTCTCTGCTTCCATCTCTCAGGCAAAAAGCACTTTCTTTCAAGATAAGATCCAATCTTCCTATTCCAATCCCAAAAAACTATTTTCCATCTTCTCCACCCTCTTGGACCCTCCCAAAGCCCCTCCCCCCTCCTCACTTCTGTCAAGCGACTTTGTTAGTCGACCACTTTGAAAAAAAGGTTGATGATATTCGCTCTTCTTTTTCTGACTCACCTTTACTCACCGCTGGGTCACCAGACCCTCCTTTCACCAACACACTTACCTCCTTTTCCCCTCTCTCTCCAAGTGAGGTTCTTACCCTCATTACCTCTGCCCGCCCTACCACCTGTCCTCTGGACCCTATCCCTTCAAACCTCCTTCAGACTATCGCTCCTGATATTCTACCGTTTCTCACCCATTTCATCAACACTTCTCTAACTTCTGGTCACTTTCCAAACAGTCTCAAGGAGGCAAGAGTAAACCCTCTCCTAAAGAAACCCACTCTCAACCCGTCTGATGTTATAAACTACAGTCCTGTCTCTCTCCTCCCGTTCCTGTCTAAAACACTTGAACGCGCTGTCTTTAAACAACTCTCCTGTTATCTCCATCAGAACAACCTTCTGGATCCGCACCAGTCTGGTTTCAAGGCAGGTCACTCCACAGAAACTGCTCTCATTGCTGTCACGGAGGAACTGCACACTGCTAAAGCAGCCTCCCTCTCCTCTGTCATCATCCTTTTGGACGTCCCCTCCTGACCCAGAAAGCCACGCAGGTTCTGGTCCAGGCTCTCGTCATCTCACGCCTAGACTACTGCAACTCCCTCCTGGCTGGTCTACCTGCATGTGCCATCCGACCTCTGCAGCTCATCCAGAATGCAGCGGTTCGTCTGGTCTTCAACCTTCCTAAATTTTCCCACACTACTCCGCTCCTCCGCTCTCTTCACTGGCTTCCGGTAACTGCTAGAATCCACTTCAAGACAATGGTACTTGCGTACCATGCTGCGAATGGATCTGGCCCTTCCTACATCCAGGACATGGTTAAACCGTACACGTGGGTTTGCTATCCTGGCTCCAAAATGGTGGAATGAGCTCCCCATTGACATCACGACAGCAGATAGCTTGCACATCTTCCGGGGGAGACTGAAAACTCATCTCTTTCGACTCCACTTCGAGCAATACAATTACTAACAAAGCCCTTATATACAAACTAAGCACTCATATACTTCAGAGATGAATATCGTAGTTTTTACTCACAGTATTAGTGAATATGTTATCAAACTGTACATTAAGTGGTACAGATTAGTTCCAACGGGACCAGATACATCAGTCAAATACTATGTACTGCACATAAAGTTGTGGTCCAAAGTCCTGGACTACATTTCCTACAATGCAATTCAACTGTAAAGCATCTTAAGCCTGGTTGAGGATACCCTCTTTCCAATTCCACATGCACAGTTGTGTAACTGTCTTTCAGTCTGTGGACTGTCTGATCACATAGTGACTATTGTATTGTACTGTATTGAATTAAAACAACCATCATCACCATGTCATCATCAGGGTTAGTTTGCACACAGATTCATTTAAACCCAAGCAAATATTGGTGTGTTATTGCTCTTCATATTGAAAATGTGTGCCTGTCAGTGATTTGCAACTCCACAGAAAAGCTCTTCTGACATTAATGATTGTTTTTTACCAACATAATCTAGTCCACACTTTTCTATTTTCCTAGTAATCACCATGCTCATTAACAGTGATCAGACGTAGATGAGATGTCACCTTAAGCCCAACGTATATCTGTTAACTCTTCATCTTGCTTTTTAGTAACTTACACTAACTGAATCAAACTAGGCTAACAGCTGACAGAGGCAGTTTCCACTGTTCATAGTCCAATCCTCATAAAACAATAACACCAAATAGAATGGAGCTGTGATACACTGAAGCCAAAATAAGCAACATTTAGTTCACAGAGAAAGGCAAAAAGGCATAGAAAACACCAGCTGAAAGTATAGTCTCTGTGTGTTCGGAAACCTGGGTTAAGAACAAGAAGGCAGCCTACCTGTTGGGGCTGAACTGGAAGCAGAGAGAGAGACAGGTAGAAGGTGGAAGGAGAGATGTGCTGCTGCTTCAAATTACACTCAGAGGGTTGAAGTCCAAGACCAGACTGCCTGAGTGTGTGTGTGTGTGTGTGTGTGTGTGTGTGTGTGTGTGTGTGTGTGTGTGTGTGTGTGTGTGTGTGTGTGTGTGTGTGTGTGTGTGTGCCCAAGATACATGATTAATGCAAGATAAGAAAGCTAGTTAAAGGAAAGGGATCAGATCTTTTAAAGGAAGTATCCTGTAAATGAACACACCCCATACATAAAGGGCCCAGCAGTCCTCAATACATTTACCTGGATAGCTTTCAGTTTTCATTTCAGATAAAACAATCCAATTACTTTAGAAAATAAATCCTCTGGATGACTTGGATTATATGATTTCCATTCTAATTTTCTTTTGGAAATCTAGTTCGTTATATAAAAGAAACCCAACATTTCAATATATTTACATCATTGAAGAAAAGAGTAACTCATCATCTTATTGTTTGAAGTTGCCTATTAAAATAGAGTAGACAAACACATGCTAATAGTGTTCTGTGAGCATTGACTTAGTAGTAAGTAGGTCTAACATTGAGTCTCCTTTAACTCTGGTGTGGTCTCTGCCGTGTGGTGAGAAAACCTGCTACCTGAAAATATTCAGTCTTTTGAAATATATTTATTTATTTTTAAAAACGTATCCGTCTTTTTAGCAGTTTTATGCTCCACTATGTTCAGCAGCTGGTCTCTAACTGTGTCTGTCTGCTACAGGAAATGATGAACAATATAAAAGCACCATTTTCTAAAGTGCAAAGATCCGTACACAGTTTGTCATTTCTTTCACATTCAACATTTTGATGAGCTCTAAATACCCTATGTTGGATGTTTTGAGTACCACAAACTATTTGATGGATGGATTGCACTGAATTTGTACATACAACTAGACATTAAAATACCTTTTTTTAAACAAAATAATTATTGAGTGAAGAACCTGACGCCATTCTATGAAATAAAGACAAATCATAAATAGACCACTGAAACAACAATAAAAGCAGCACTAATGTTATTTAGGAGGGAATGAAAAGCAGAGTTTATGGTTGTTACACTTTGACCCTGAACATGGACGTTATCACTCAGAGGGCACTGACATATCTTTCCAATTACCACTCAGGCTGCGGTGATAAGCTGCTGCTGTTGTGCAAGAGATTTGGAGCAAAGATTTATAGCGTAATAAAGTCAGCAAACATAAGGTTGCCAGGAAACATCAGCCAGGGTCTGTCTACCTTCCTCCAATGGCGTCTCTTGATGGTGTCCCTGGTGATCATCATCACGGCCCAGAACTGGGTGAAGCACTGCCTCAGACGCTTGTAGTGCTTCCTGGAGAAGAGAGGAGGCAGCAACACACAATGAGCATCATGTTGGTGTATCACATGACCTCATTCAGCCCCAGGGGAAACCTGATGCATTCCTCAGTTACCTCCGTCTGTCGGGAGAAGTGAGTGGCCATGGTCAACTGTTTCATTTCAGTGCAGTTTTTTATTTTAGTTTCCTTTCTGCTATCTTTTTCTCCTTCTATCCATATTTCCATGTTTATAACTTTCTATATTTTGGTCATTTATTGTTACACTTTCCTTCACCATTTTCTTAAGCTCCCTCTTTTATAATGTATTTATTGATATAGTTCATGAATTAATTGCGTTACATGTTTTCATTATTAATCATAAAAAAATGATCTTTCCTTCTTCACACTTTAACAAAAAAAGAAGAAGAATACTGACTGTAAACGGAAAAAATAATATTAAAAAAATATTAAAGCAAAAGTAAACTCTTCTCCAAGTACTTTTCATTTGGAAAAGACATGTAAAACAATATATGCTTTATTGTATTCCTCATTGTGTCCCTAGAGTTGAAGAGCCTATCATAAGGTCCCTCACTGTCTACACTGATAAGGCACAGCTGCTCCTCTGCACCTGGCCTGGTGTCCTCGGATGTGGCTCTGGATGACGATGGCCTTCTCTCTGAAGAACCTGAAGTTCCTCCTACAGATGAAGCCTCGGATGTTCCTCTGGATGGTGATGGCCGCCCAGGTCTGAGTGCTGCTCCACTTCTCCTCCAGCTGCTGGTAGAGCAGCTCCTTGAGGAACAGCTGACAGACACACACATGCTGATGTGTACAGTACAGACTTGAACCAGTGTGATGACAGGCAGTTGGTTACCTTGGTGAGTCCCAGCTGGTACTGCCCCTCCTCTGCCCCCACCAGCTCCAGCAGGGCCAGCAGCTGCTCCCTGTCCGACACCTCGCTCTGACGCTGACTCAGCAGAACTCCGTACCTGTCAACACAAGCTGAGGATGACCTTAATCTAGTTGCTGAATTCATCAAGAAGAAGAATCCCACAAGGGGAATTCAGTTTTCACAACAACAACAAAAGATAGAGGTAATTGTACTTTACTTTAGTATTTTTCACAATTTGCTAGTTTATACTCCATTACATTTTGTAGGCATTTTATTGTACTTTTTACTCACTACATTTATTTTACAGATGAAGTTACTGGTCACATTGTAGATTAAAATATGAATACAAAATATAAAATACATTATTATATTTTATTAGAGGCTAAGCTAGCCAGGGTGTGTATACAATATATATTTTTTAAAACAACTTTACCATGTCCAACATTGAAGTTATAACCACATTAATCATTATAATACAATCATTTAAATATATGGTGCTTATTTGTGTTATTCCGCATGAGGAGTACCAGAAGTATAATTTTGAATGCAGGACTGTGACTAGGATTGCTACTTAAATCATCCGAGTACTTCTTCCTCCACTGACTGCTACACATTATGGCGTGAAATACACACATGCACAAACACATGCATTTGTATAAAGAGGTGTCCGAGCGAAGGGGCTTCCATGTTTCAGCCCGGGACGTGGACGGACAACTCTCCAGCTACCAGTCCACACAACGTTGTTTTAGTCCTACAGGGACTCAAACCGGTGATCAAGCCAATTCCCTACAGACTGAGCACTGCTGCCCTCCCTTCATCAACTGCCATTTATTCAGTGGAGGGTTTAGAAGACAATGACAAAACTGAGCCCTGATATAAAATGCACCACTATGCCACCCACAACATACGGTGCACAGTAGAACAGTACACAGGATCATACATCAAGACCTTTACTTTGAAATATTTAGTTCACTGTAGTCTGTGCTGTTTGCCTCCAGTCTTCAGCAGGCTGTCTGTTTGATGTTGGTGTGGTGTCTGTGCCTTTAGTTTAAATGTGTTTAATGAATCAAAAAAGGCAGCATTTCACTCTATTGTAAAAAAAGATTATATAATTGATGAAAAATGATTCAACTCCAGGACCTATTCTATCAATCCAAAACCAAAAAGGTAATCCAGATATACAATGACCCCACCCATCATCTCAACCCAGCATTCCAGCTGCTGCCATCAGACTGAGAGTCCCAATGGGCAGGAAACACAACAGTTTGCTCTGCTGAGTATGGGGAGTGGGGTTTGATTTGCCGGTGCCAAACACAAATGGTCATTTTTGCCAATTGAATTTGAAATAAGGTCATCTGAATTGCCACATCTCAGTACTGAACATCTTGCAACTATACATGAGAAAAGACGAAGAAATAAGAGAAGGGGAGTACAAATGAGACACTGGTATTTCTAAAGGGGTCAAATGATAAACACATCATGCTGGTGTGATGCTCTGTATGTTAGCAGCACCTCTCGATGAATAAGGAGTACTGTATGCGTATGGGGAACCCTTCCTTCCTGATGTGGATGGTCTCCATTATCCCAGCATGCCTCAGCTGGGCCGACACATAGTCCACGTCAAAAATCCCAGGGAGCTGACAGATGACATGACAGTTGAAGTACACGGTTATACAGCGGTTGCAGATGTTAGGATATAAGTTAGCATCAGTATAAAGAATCTGGTGTTACCTTGACGTAGTTTGGCTTCAGACAACGAATAAAAGTGGTTTTGCATCTAATAGTTAAAGGACAAAACACACATGTTATTGTTCAGCAAACATTATTCATAACACACTCATGACAAAAGCTAATAATGCAATGACACTTAATTCAAAACGAATTTCATGTCTGAAATGCTGAATCAGAAATGGCGCTGATGATCATCACTCCATCCATAAAACAAGCAAAAGTGCCCTGTCTTGAGGACAAACCTTATTTTAGACATTTTATAAATCAGCATCACCATTTAGTTATTTCAGCAGACTGTCAATCCATATATTGTAATAAAACAACTGTCAAATCTTTTTATGTTAGGTTCATACTGTTTTAAAGTTAAAACATAATTAACTAAACAGTGCAAATAAACACAAAATATCTCACAGTCAAAGTTTTGTGCATCATACAGATATTTGAAAGAAGAATATTTCAAAAGCACAAACAAGAGGCACTGCACATACCAGGCATATTTCAGTGATGACTCATACAGTACCAAATGACAATATGATGAACTAACCAGCTATCCTAATCCCCATATTTCTTTCCATGACATTTATTAAACCGACATTCTCCACAGACCACAGCTATCTGATATTTCACAAATTCAGAGGAACAGTATTACTTTAGGTGATGCTCTAGAGCAGGGGGGGTCAAACTCAAATACACAGTGGGCCAACATTTAAAAATGGGTACTAGTCGAGGGCCGGACTGGTTCAATGTTTATTGCAGAACGTATTGAAATGAACTTATTGCACATATTAAACCTGGAACTAACAAAGCTTCAATTATTGCCTATAAAAACAACATTACACATGAAATAATCAGTTGCATTCATGTCTTATGGCTCTATCTGCAGCTTTTCCAGAGTCATTTCTTATGATTACATTTCTCCACAGGCCAACAACAGCTTCAAAAAAACAAACATGACCTGTCGTCGCAAGAAGGAAGTGCAGAAGGAAACATCCATTAAACTCAGTGTGCTGCTCTGTGATGCTAGTTCAGATACTTGGCATCTCATCTTGGGTGCAGGTTCATCAATGTTTGGGCTCAGGCTCTGAGCTGAGGAAACCCTCAGGACTGAGTGAAGGTGTGCGTGCAATATACCGGCGGGCCAGATCTAATAGTAATTACAAATTGAGTTTGAGTTTGCGGGCCTTGAGTTTGACATGTGTGCTCTAGAGGTTCTCACACTGCTCCACAGCTCTGGATCAGTGTGTGTGTCAGTGTGTATGTCGGTGTGTGTGTCAGAGTGTGTGTCAGTGTGTGTGTCAGAGTGTGTGTCAGAGTGTGTCAGAGTGTGTCAGAGTGTGTCAGTGTGTGTGTCAGAGTGTGTGTCAGAGTGTGTCAGAGTGTGTCAGTGTGTGTGTCAGTGTGTGTCAGTGTGTGTATCAGTGTGTGTATCAGTGTGTGTATGAGTGTGTGTATGAGTGTGTGTCAGTGTGTGTCAGAGTGTGTCAGTGTGTGTGTCAGTGTGTGTATGAGTGTGTGTGTGTGTGTGTGTGTGTGTGTGTGTGTGTGTGTGTCAGTGTGTGTGTCAGTGTGTGTGTGTCAGTATGTGTCAGAGTGTGTGTGTGTGTGTGTCAGAGTGTGTGTCAGTGTGTGTGTGTCAGTGTGTGTCAGAGTGTGTGTCAGTGTGTGTGTCAGAGTGTGTGTCAGTGTGTGTGTCAGTATGTGTCAGAGTGTGTGTGTGTGTGTCAGAGTGTGTGTCAGTGTGTGTGTGTCAGTGTGTGTGTCAGTGTGTGTGTCAGTGTGTGTCAGAGTGTGCAACTCGATTTTGACAGGATAACAACTGGTGACTTCTAGAATTGTGTGAGTAACATTCTGTCTTTAGACTTCTCTGTTTCAGTGTGTGCACTCTGTATAAATGCTCTGTAGTTGATCTGACTGGAATTGTGATTTTAAATCTCAAAACCGCTACAGTATCTGTCAGGCAGAAACTTGGGACAAGTAATTTGACTGAAACCTTAAAACTGAACTAACTGACTGCTAGGGTTAACTTTGATTTAAACATTTGTAGAATACTAAGAGCTTTATTGAGTAGGTGTAACTGTATTAAGGGTTAAACTCATAACTTTATAACTTAGGGTTTAATGTAATTGTAAAACCATTGGGCCACTGAAAAGACACAATAACAACTCAGGAGGGAGCCAGTCTAGATTTCCTTTTGAGGGCCACCAGCTGCAGAGAGTTAACTAATTAAAGGGACGTGGCCCCACAGCTGTGAGAACTCAGCAATTAGGTGTCCATTTTAGGTAGCACTTTCCTGGAGCGTCAGACAGACGAAGACTGACAAGACAATAGAGTCCTGCTGGAGTCACGAGGGTGGCAAAGAGGAGGCAAATCCTACTTTGATTGAGCTAAGTATCGCTGGTGTTTTATTTTATATGGTTGTTTAGCCCCTCATGCTATAATCATGTGTATTTTCTCCATTCCTGTTTATGTGTCTTCTCGCAATTATCACTGGCCCCGTGTATCTCCTAATCGATATAACCGGCCTGCTCTCGTCTATCCCACATGCTCCACTGACATCCAACATCTAGTTTCTGGTGGCCTGTGGAACTGCCAGTCAGCTGTTCCTAAGGCTGACTTCATCTCTGGCTACGCTTCCCTGCAGTCCCTGGATTTCCTTGCTCTCACTGAGACGTGGATTACTCCATCCAACACATCCACCCCAGCAGCTCTCTCTACAGCATATTCCTTCTCCCATACACCCAGACCCACTGGCAGAGGAGGTGGCACTGGTCTCCTGCTCTCTCCCAAATGGAGCTTTTCCCTCTTCAAGCTACCTAACTTCACTCCTTCCACCTTTGAATTCCATGCCGTCACAGTAACCCATCCTATACAATTAACCATTGTTGTTCTCTACCGTCCACCAGGCGCCTTGGGGGACTTCTTGGAGGAATTAGATAATCTCTTCTCACACATCCCTGAAACTGGCCCTCCTGCTGTACTTCTCGGAGACTTCAACCTCCAGACAGGGAAGATAGACTAACTAACATCTCTGTTAACCGCCTTTGCTTTCTCACTGTCTCCATCCCCACCAACTCATAAAGCTGGCAATGTCCTTGATCTCATATTCTCAAGGAACTCCACTACTTCTAACCTCTCTGTAAACCCGCTCCACATTTCTTCATTTCATTCTCTCTACCCCTTTCCAAACATAACAAACTAATCTCTTCTCATCCTGCACCTGTCCGCCGTAACCTTCGTTCTCTCTCCCCCTCTACCTTTGCCTCGTCGGTGCTCTCAGCCCTCCCTTCCTCTGACTCGTTCCAACTCCTACCTCCAAACTCTGCTGCAGAAACTCTCCACTCTACTCTCTCATCCTCTCTGGACTCTCTCTTTCCTCTCACATCTCGGCAGGCTCGTCAGTCCCCTCCTGCTCCCTGGCTAAATGATGCACTGCGTGCTAATAGAACCGTCCTTAGGGCAGCAGAGCGGAAACGGTGGAAATCCAAACACCATGACGACCTCCTAACCTATCAGGCTCTCCTCTCCTCTTTCTCTGCTTCCATCTCTCAGGCAAAAGCACTTTCTTTCAAGATAAGATCCAATCTTCCTATTTCAATCCCAAAAAACTATTTTCCATCTTCTCCACCCTCTTGGACCCTCCCAAAGCCCCTTCCCCCTCCACCCTTCTGTCAAGCGACTTTGTTACCCACTTTGAAAAAAAGGTTGATGATATTCGCTCTTCTTTTTCTGACTCACCTTTACTCACCACTGGGTCACCAGACCCTCCTTTCACCCACACACTGACCTCCTTTTCCCCTCTCTCTCCAACTGAGGTTCTTACCCTCATTACCTCTGCCCGCCCTACCACCTGTCCTCTGGACCCTATCCCTTCAAACCTCCTTCAGACTATCGCTCCTGATATTCTACCGTTTCTCACCCATTTCATCAACACTTCTCTAACTTCTGGTCACTTTCCAAACAGTCTCAAGGAGGCAAGAGTAAACCTTCTCCTAAAGAAACCCACTCTCCTCCCGTTCCTGTCTAACACACTTGAACGCGCTGTCTTTAAACAACTCTCCTGTTATCTCCATCAGAACAACCTTCTGGATCCGCACCAGTCTGGTTTCAAGGCAGGTCACTCCACAGAAACTGCCCTCCTTGCTGTCACTGATGAACTGCACACTGCTAAAGCAGCCTCCCTCTCCTCTGTCATCATCCTTTTGGACCTGTCTGCTGCATTCGACACGGTGAATCATCAGATCCTCCTTCGCACTCTCCAAGAACTTGGAGTTTCAGGCTCTGCACTTTCCCTCATCACCTCATACCTCAAAGACCGCACCTACAGGGTTACTTGGAGAGGGTCGTTGTCCGACCCTTGTCAATTAACTACAGGGGTCCCTCAGGGCTCTGTTCTTGGTCCCCTCCTCTTCTCCTTGTACACAAACTCGCTCGGATCAGTCATTAGCCCGCATGGTTTTTCATACCACTGCTACGCTGACGACACCCAATTAATCCTGTCCTTTCCCCGCTCAGAGACCCAGGTCGTCGCACGCATCTCTGCTTGTCTAGCTGACATCTCTCATTGGATGTCTGCTCATCACCTCAAGCTCAACCTTGACAAGACTGAACTGCTTTTCCTTCTGGGAAAAGATTGTCCCACTCTTGACCTAACAATCAACATTGGCACCTCAGTTGTTTCCCCGACTCAGACTGCAAGGAATCTGGGTGTGACCCTAGATAACAACCTGTCCTTCACTGCAAACATCGCTGCTACAACCCGTTGCTGCAGATACACGCTTTACAACATCAGGAGGATACGTCCCCAGCTGACCCAGAAAGCGACGCAGGTTCTGGTCCAGGCTCTCGTCATCTCACGCCTAGACTACTGCAACTCCCTCCTGGCTGGTCTACCTGCATGTGCCATCCGACCTCTGCAGCTCATCCAGAATGCAGCGGCTCGTCTGGTCTTCAACCTCCCTAAATTATCCCACACCACGCCGCTCCTCCGCTCCTCCGCTCCCTCCACTGGCTTCCGGTAACTGCTAGAATCCACTTCAAGACAATGGTACTTGCGTACCATGCTGCAAATGGATCTGGCCCTTCCTACATCCAGGACATGGTTAAACCGTACATCCCAGCACGTGCACTCCGCTCTGCATCAACCAAACGGCTCGCTGCACCCTCGCTGCGAAGGGGACCAAAGTTTCCATCAGCAAAAACACGTGGGTTTGCTGTCCTGGCTCCTAAATGGTGGAATGAGCTCCCCATTGACATCAGGACAGCAGATAGCTTACACACCTTCCGGCGCAAACTGAAAACCCATCTCTTTCAACTCCACTTCGAGCAATAGAACTATTAACAAAGCACTTTTATACTAATAAAGGACTGGCTTATCTAAAGCCAGTTGAGTAGCACTTGAAATGTTTAGCTCTATGAAACCTGATGTATTTATATGATTCTGTTTTCTTCAAGTTTGTATTTTGTTGGTCGAACGCACTTATTGTGAGTCGCTTTGGATAAAAGCGTCAGCTAAATGCAATGTAATGTGTGTGTCAGTGTGTGTGTGTCAGTGGTAGTAGTAGAACCTTTATTTATCCAGGAAAATTAATTAAGAACAAATTCTTATTTACAATGATGACCTGACAGGAGGCACAGGCTTCCTGAGGGGATGGGGTTTGGGAGGGAAAAAAAATAAAAAGACAGTCTCCGGGCACTACAGAACCCAGGAGACAACACAAACACATAGAGCAAAGATGACAGGCATAGCAGTTAAACATATAAAAACTCTAAAACAATATTGCTGTGGTTCAATCAGTCATTAAAATCAGCATCAGGCAAAGCAGCTACATGTGTGTACCAGGGTGTCTATAATAGTGACATTGAAGGTGCGGGGGGAAAACAAAGGTTTTCATTTTCAACGTTTTTTGAATGACATTCCAGTTATCTGCTGCTGCAAATTGAAAGGCGGAGCGGCCAAAGGATGTATGGGCTTTGGGGATCTTTAGCAGGATGCTTGTAGCTGACCGGGTGTGCGGAGTTGCAGTAATGGTGTGAGGTAGAAGGGGGTGAGGCCTAGGAGTGTTTTGTAAACAAACAACAGCCAGTGGATGTTGCGCCTGGTCTCAAGAGAGGGCCAGTTAGCCAGAGAGTACAGGTCACAGTGGTGTGTCCTGTAGGGGGCATTGGTGGCAAAGCGGATGGCGGAGTGATACAGAATGTCTAAATGATCGAGAGCTCTTTTACACGCCGAGCGGTAGATGGTAACAGAGGAAGGACAGTCATCTGAACCAGAGAGAGTTTAGCAGATGAAGTGAATGAGGAGCGATTCCTATATAGAAAGCTGAGTCTAGCTTTAACCTTGGTCTGAATTTTGGAGAGATGTTCTGAGAATGACAGATTACTGTCAATCCAAAATCCAAGGTATTTATAAGATTTAACTATTTCGAGGTCCCGGCCATCGGCGGTCACAATAGTGCCAGTTTGGGAGGCACCACTGCGGCCAAACCACATGATCTTGGTTTTAGTGGTGTTCAGGACCAGGCCAAGGGCAGAGAGATGTGACTGGATTCTCTGAAAACTATCCTGAAGAGTTTTCAGGACAGTATCTGGGGAAGGGCCAGCAGTGTACAGAATCGTGTCATCGGCATATAGGTGGATAGAGGAGTTGCCCACTGATTTCTCCATGTCATTTATATATATTGAGAATAGGATGGGTGCTAGGATAGAGCCTTGTGGTACTCCCTTAGAGATGGATAGGGGCTGTGTCATCAGATTTTCAGATTTTACACACTGGGTGCACATGGACAGGTAGTTTTCAAACCAGGCTATCGATTGGTTGGTGACACCAATGCATCTAAGCTTTCCCAGAAGCAGTTGGTGATCTACAGTGTCGAAGGCTTTGGCAAGATCGATGAAAATGGCAGCACAGTATTGTCTGGAGTCAAGGGCATTGATGATATCATTTAGGACTTTGAGAGTCGCCGTCTCACACCCATGACCTGCACGGAACCCAGACTGCATGTCAGATACTGTAGTATGTTGTAAGTCTTCAGAAACCATGTTAGCTTTTTGCAAACTAACTTTTAGAACACTTTCACTATACAGGGTAGAATGGATATTGGACGATAGCAGTTGGGGTCAGCATGGTTTCCCCCTTTAAACAAAGGTTGCACTGAGGCTGCCTTCCAGGCAGAAGGTAGCACTGCTGTCTGTATGGACAGATTACAAAGGTGGGAGATAGCTTCTGTCAGAGTGTGTGTCAGAGTGTGTGTCAGTGTGTGTGTGTGTCAGTGTGTGTGTGTCATGTGTTGGTACCTCTCCAGGCGGGTGGTGAGTTCTGTCAGGGACTGCAGGAAGTGAGAGGCAGCGGTGGAGGGCTGCTGCCGGAGACCCTTCCCCCTCCAGCCCAGCTCTCTCTGCTGGATGTAACTGTCCTGAAGCTTCCGGAAGAGCTCCGACACCGTCTGACACACACAATCACAGGGAAACTGTAAAAATAGATTATTTTTTTGTATGATTTCTTCAATATCTATATCTTTAAACTGATCACGTTTGCATTTAGTAGAAGAAGAAACAGACATTTTCTAGTAAAAACCTATATTAAAGGTGGGGTATGTAATTTATTTCAGAAACACTTTTTGTTATATTCCATGGAATGCTCTTAACATCCCGATAGCAATGAATATATTAAATGCTTTGACAATAAATACATTAAAAAATGTCATCTGTAAAAAGCACGACCAATCATCTGAGCCGGCCCGGCTAAAGTAACTGGATGGCCTACCTGCCTGTCAGCCTTCCATCTGTGCACAAACTTATCTCGTGCCCTCATTGGTCATGTGCGCGTTCGTGTGTGTTGGAGGAGGGGCTCTGTAAGGAAGTGGCAGATTTCTTCCGGTTGTGTATTTTCAAATTCTAGCGCACTCGAGCTGGTTTCTCCAAAATTACCTACCCCACCTTTAAGCATTATTACAAGAAAAGGTTCTAACCATCTGAGACCTTTGAGATCCACCCTGGGGAACCTACTGTCACAGGCTCAACCCTCTATGGCATGACTTTTTATTTTGGGAGGAAAAAAATGTTTCACCATGTGTTTCAGCAGCTTAGGGGTCCCTGATATTATATCAATTATAAAATGTGTGTGTCTGTGTGTATGTGTTTGTATGCATGTGTCTCTGTGTGTGTGTGTGTGTGTGTGTGTGTCTGTGTGTATGTGTTTGTCTGTGTGTGTTTCTGTGTCTGTGTGTGTCTATGTGTGTGTTTGTGTCTGTATGTGTGTGTCTATGTGTGTGTGTGTGTGCCTAACCCTATCTTGATCTTCACTGTCCTCACTGTCAGACGGAATAGCCCTAACAGCCTGATCGTGTCCCTTCTGCCCATAACATGTTTTGTTGTCCATTTCCTGTAAATATCAGTAGATGGTAAAAACATTGATTAGGTTTATCATTTTACAGCTGAGCACACTTGTATGATATTGCCTGGAAAAAAGTGGTCCAAGTGGCACAGTGTTGCCCTGAGGCAACGAACAACAAAACATAGTTTTAGCTCATTAATAAATACATAATAAGTCTTTAAACAATCAAATATACTTCTTTACGTATTCATGCACATGCATGTATTTTTTATTTTAAGTTGTGTACATTTCTAATATGTTAAAAAGTGAAATGTATCTTACCAAGTGGTGGCCCTTAGTCCCCTGCAGCTTTGCTTGCAGAAAGGACTGCTCCACCCCCAGACAAAATGCCACACCCATATCATTCCCTCATTTTATTGGACACCAGCATGTCAGGTGACATTGTGTATATTTAAAAAATATATATATATTTAGAGGGCCAGTGTGAGGTCGAAAAAAGTGGTGTGTTGCCTGAGGGCAACAGTATGCCATAGAGGGTTAACAGCTGGAATGAAGCTACTAAGACTAAAGGAATCCAATGTCACGTCGCCATATTTACAGGAGTATCTTAACCTCTCACTTTACAGTATCTGAACAAAAGGCTCCTCTCTATAGACATACAAATCATGCGGTTTTACATATAAATGTGTTATTAATGCAAATTCTAAAAATGACTTTATTATTTCTGCAGCATGAGTCCCTGGTATTGCAAGAGTTGGGAATATGAGACTCTAGTGGATTCAATGCGCACGACTGATTTCATGTGTAATGATGCCAGTCACCATAGCAGTCATTTCATTGTAGTAAGACCATTCATTGAAACTTGACCTCAATATGAGATGAGCTGCTGTGACCTCTAGGATAACCACAGCCTCATAACACTTTACAACAACAAACTACAGACTGGAATCGTTCAGATGATAAACGGCTTTCCTATATAAATTGACAATAAGGGGCTTTTCTGGTCAGTTTTCAGGAAAGCAGCACTCACTATCCAATATCCAATACATGTCCTATAGTGTTCTTGATGTGGTATTTTGGAGAGATTTGTGATCTTTTTTATAAACTCTGAACTTCACAAATGTTGCCACAGAGAAACACATTGCTTATAAAATATAGATATTTTATTAGCTTCTTGGTGGCACTTTCGCAACTACAGGTGTTATATAGTTTAAATGTTTGATTTACAAACTTGTGTAATCCAATTAAATAATATTATTTAAAAAAAATGTAAGCCAGCTGTTGCACATGTTGCTAAGCTACACAATAAGACCCAAAGCACTCTCTTTGGGTCTAATGCCCGATGGTGCACCTTTAACCGGCTCCTGGCAAAAGCTCCACCACCTCTGTCCTGAACTGGTCGTGGTTCTTATTCAGGAAATTATGAACCTGGAAACAGAGTATATTATGTTTATGAGACAAAGGTTGTTGCAGCAGATGTGCTGCATATTTAGTACAGTGTGCTGTGCCTGATACCTGATAGGTGACAGCTCCGGCGTAGTGATACACAGTAAAGACTGGCAGGGGGTTCTTAGGCTTGGCATAGTAGGGGCTGTTCCCATGGTGATAGTGGCACTTCTGGAGGAAGGTGTGGTCAGTGGCCTGATTGAAAAAGGGGAACAATACTTAAAAACATATACAAATTCACTTAAATGTTTATAATTCTTCCAGATCAGATGTAATAACCACGGCATACTGCCATACAAGCAAAGCAGTGTTATTGAATATAGGGCATTTCCTTAACTCATCAAGGTGTTTAAAGGGGATATAAAAAGTGAGAAAACAATATACTGTCACAAACAAAATATAACGTCATAAAAACAGATCACAGTACCTGGAAAAGTAACAGGGGGTATCTCGGCCACAAACATTAGTCTTTCTATGTTTTTCCTGTTCGTTTTCGTGTGTGCATGCGTGTGTGTGTGTGCATGTGTGTTTGTGTTAGTCTGTGTGTGTGTGTGTGTGTGTGTGTGTGTGTGTGTGTGTGTGTGTGTGTGCATGCGTGCGTGCGTGTGTACCTGGGGCAGGCAGGTCTGATCGTCCAGTATGCGCAGGATGCCGTGGGGTCTAGAGGAGATGAGCTCCAGACAGGAGTGGAAGTCCTTCAGAGGCATGGGGTACCACTGGATCTGCTCTGCACTGTACTCCTCCTGAGGAACACACAGACACTGGCTATCAGGCTCCTTGCTAACACACTAGCATACAGTGTAAAGAAATAGTTTGCTCTCCCTGATTTGTTAATCTTAACATTTAACAATGCCTTTCGCAGGGACTGGATCCGAAGTGAAAACTACGTCCTCTTAATGTTAATAAATCCTTTATTATGGAATTATTAACAGTTATCTGTGCCTTTTTATTTAGTGTACGACATACAACACATTTCAAAGTTGAATGCATAAAAAAAGAAGAAAACATATCTTGTGAGTGGTGTTGGAACTATTTTGTATAATCGGTTCAGGTATTTGTTGTTATGTGATGACTACACAGTCACAGCACCAAGCTGGAGTTTTGTCAATGTGTGGAGTTTTTCTAGCCAGCTTACTAGTTAAAAAGACAAAGAGTGTCTGGAGGAGGGTGCAGTCAAAAGGACTTTCTCCAACCTGGCAACCCAAAGGTTTGTTAGTAATGGCTTTTAACTGATATATAGGGCATAACTAAATGACTCATCCACTATTGATAAAGTCATTACTCTCAGATTATTAGTATGTAAAGGATGATTTATTTAACAGTGTTGTATATATAGGGTCAGGTGTTCTCCATGGACCTGTCCGGACACTGACCTGCTCCTGGGAGATCACCGCCTTGTTGACAAAGTGCTGCAGCTGCTCATTGGCGAAGTTGATGCACAGCTGCTCGAAGCTGTTCACTGCCAGGTCCTACAGAGGAGAGGGATCACAGCATCACCACAGGCAACGCTCAGATACTTCACCTGATGGTGTGCAGGGTGAATACCAACCTCAAACCCATAGATGTCCACTATGCCCACCGTGCTGTCCATCTCCGAGGGGCTCAGCCAATCATTGATCTGCTCTAGCAGCCAGTCAAACAGCACAGAGTACAAGGCTTTGGCAATGGCATCTCTGCAAAGAGGACCGGGATGAGAGAGGGGGGGGGGGGGCTTTAATGCAAAGGATTTACAGAAAAACCTGCCTTAAAAACTGTGGGAGTGGAGTTTGGAAGAACTGAGTAGAGTAACAAAAGATAGACACATTATCGAGCTTCACTACTAGAGAAGTAATATCCAGCATTTGCAGGCTTGACCTTTACATATGACTAAATATCTGATCTCAGCCTCTGCTGCAAACATTTTATGGACGCATAAAAATCCATGGGCTATTTTCTTTTGATTTTACGGTCTTCAATTAAATTCGAGAAATGAATCCACGTTTATTCCACTTGTCTACTTTTAAGGTTGAAAAAGTACAGTGCGATCATATCGTTATCACTCTGGCGATTGTTGAGATGTGTGTTGTGGTACTAGAAGAGTGGAACAGTTCTTCACTCATAAAATAAGCTGTGAGGATCTGCTTTACGGTCTTTGAGAAGACTTAGGAGTGTATCTCTTCGGTTACTTTATGGGTTGCCATGGTACTCTGGAGACAGTGGCGGGCTCCAGGGTATGGCTGGGGTAGGCTACAGCCCCCCCCCCCCCCTTCAAGACAGCATCTGCAGTCTCCGAAGCCTGATAAGAATGTGTGTGTAAAAAACGCAGCAAACTCTAACTGATATTTGCTGGGTCCAGGCTCAAGGGCGTATGGCACTCTCAACTCTTTCCAGGACAAGCCGGGGCCCTGCCTGCCAGTAGCTTTGCCGATATCTGTGTTGATAGGTAATAGATTGAGAATCAGCTTGGAAACAGGAAGTGCTCAAACGTTTGTGTGAGTATCAAATTTAGCAGTGATTCCATGTCAGCCACAGCTTGCCACAAACAATCTGACTGATAGTGTATCTAACAAACTTAAACTAGCTTATTAAATGTCAGGTCTTTGCAGGAAAACGTTTTTTAATCAATGATTTTATCACTGAGCGCAATCTCGATTTATGTTTTTAACGGAAACTTGGATGAACAAAATAACAGTGCAGCTGTTCTTATCGAATCAACCCCTCCCAACTTAGTTTTATGAGTCAGGAAAGAATGCATAAGAAAGGGGGTGGATGTTGCTATTCTGTTCAATGATTCCCTTCAATGCAGGAAGGACATCTTATGGGAACTTTGCTTCTTTTGAATATGTGGCCCTTCAGCTGACATGCTCCTCTCGAGCTCTGTCCTAAATATCTATAGACCATGCCCAAATACTGTGCAAGCTTTTTTTGATTGACTTTACTGAACTGCTATCTATAGTGAGTATTGACTTTGACCGTCTAGTCATTGTTGGTGATTTTAACATACATGTTGACAACCCCCAGGACAGAGGGGCTAAAGAACTGTTTGTGTTCTTGATAACTATGGACTGACTCAGCATGTGACGGAGCCCACGCACAATAAGGGGCACACTCTGGACTTAATTATCTCAAAGGGTCTGAATATCTCTGAGGTTGTGGTGACTGGATGTTGCACTCTCTGATCATTCCTGTGTTTTCTTTGATGAGCTCTATTTTTGTTCACAAAAATGTTCAAAAAGAGGTAACCACAAAGCGATATTTAACTGAAAATACTAGGGAAATGTTTACTCAGAATTTCTCTTCCACACTTGCCCCTGCTAACATCTCAGTAAATGAGCTAGTAGATCATTTTAATTCAAACATTAAAAATGTTATAGATGCCATTGCTCCAACTAGGTAAAGGAAGTGACTGGCAAGAAAATATCTCCATGGAGAAAGGCCATGACCGTGAAAACAGAAAAAAGAGTGTCGAAAGCTGAACGCAGGTGGCGGAAAAAACAAATATCGAGCCATGCGAGTTGAAGGAACCAGGTTCTGCATTTTTTGTCAAACAGATGCGTGTCATTGGTGGGAAGTGACCTCAGCGTGCGGTAAAGATTTCGAGAGACAATGAATCGTATGATTCCTACATTCTGAGCTCTGTGCTACCGTTCGGAAGAGTCTAGAACTGGGGATTTTGTCCTGATGCGAGGTATAGGTATGGGAATGAATGTTGTGCCTGTCCTCTGCATTCTGTTGTGCTTATCTGTGGTTTGGTGCAGGGTGAGCAGTGTTTCCCACAGAATTTGATTCTATTTGTGGGGGCACCGCACCGCCCCCCCCCCCGGACAAGAAAAGCCAAAGGCCCCTTAACCTATTCGGGTGGTCCACGCATCACCCCCCCCCCCCCCCTCAAATCAGATAATACATGTGAGGTTCATGGCTACTGTAGACAACGTTGCTGTTGCTCTGTGTTGCGTTGTTAATGAGTGAAACACACCAGAGTTGAGGATCTGTGGGGTTTATTCTCCCAAAAATATAATTTACAATTTAGGCATTTAGCAGACGCCTTATTCCAAGGCGACTTACAATGACCAATTACAGGGACATTCTCCCTGGAGTAACCGAGGCTAAGTGCACTCAAGGGCCACACTAGTAGTGGTGTTCCAGGCAGGATTTGAACTCGCAACCTTCCGATCATCAGCCCACCTCACTATCCATTAGACCAACAAAAAAAAAGAAGAATTTAAAAAAGAAGAAAGAAAAAAAGGATAATAATTTATTTATTTTTTGTATGAGATCCATTTGTGCGCGGACGATATTTAATTGTGGTGGCCCGCCACAAATAAATCAATGTATGGGAAACAACTGGGGTGAGGTTAACATGGGGGTCCGTCCTGTAATGCCGATTGAAGGTGTGGATGTTATCCTTGGGAACAGCTTGACTGGCAAGCCGTGTGTGGGCTGAGGGTCCACCGCCTACCATACTGTCATCTTCACCCACTGTGACTGTAACGCAGAGGGAGAATGCTAAGTGCTCCCCTGGAGTGGAGTGCACCAGCTGGGCGTAAAAAGTAGGGCTTAACTCTAACGTCGGCCCTTAGACCTACGTCCGACGTAGTGATTTCGAATTTACACCGAGTGCACCAAGCCTGACTAGTCTCGGGCGTAGCTGCGCCTGGTCTTAAGATGCGCGTCCACGTGAATACACGCGAAACAGTAATTGTTGCCAAGCAACGCCATTTTTACAGACTCAGAGGACTGCAGAGAAGAGGGAATTCCCACCCCCACAGCGTCATCGATGACTCAAGGGGAATCCCAAATGGCCACACCCCGAAAGATGAAAGGAGGGATTTGTCAGAGCTACAGCGGTAGAACTGACGGAGAAAGAAATCGTTCGGTTGTAGAGGTGGGAGACCGTCAAATTGAGAGCGGAACACGAAAAATTGAGCTGGAGAAGGAGAAATTGAGACTCTTCTTAATGCCCTTTATTGTTAAACATGTAAACAAGACGCCCTGCCATCGTTATATCCTTCTTGCCTGTTTTAACGTTACTATGGATACTAGTCGGTCTTTCCGATTTACGCCTGTTCCATACTAGGCGTAAAAGTTACACCCGGGCGCAACGCATACAGGCTTAAGTCTAAGTGGTGCACTAGTCATAACTTTAGTTTGGTCTTAACCTTCGGTTCTACGTCGGACGTAGGAGTTACGCCCAGCTTACGACCAGCTGGTGCACTCCACTCCTGGAGTGTTTGTGGCTGGTACTGTGACACGGGCTGTGAGCCCGTGCAAAGGGGGAGTGCTGAGCAGGGTGAAGAGTGGGTGAGATAGATTCTGGTTGTTCCTGACTTGTTGTTGTCTGTATCCCGCAGTGAATTGGTGGTTAGAGCAGAAAGCTGATGTCTCCCTCATTTCGTTCTTTGAGGCGGTTCTCTCCACCGAGAATGGAAATGGCGCTACCGGTGGTTGTCTGCTGCAAGGGGAACTGCTGGTCAGAAAATGGTGTCACATAGGAAAGGCCTCATTGGTGAGCCAGTCTTTCAGATTGTGGGTTCCTGTCAAGAAAGGTCCTCAAGAAAGACATAAGCAATCAGGACATCTGTGTGTCCGTAAAACATGTAATTGCATGTTACGGTATTCTTTTGGCCTTGTTTAAAGAGAGATGTGTCTCGGCATATCATGTCACACGTGTCAAATGAGAGGTAAGCCAACTCGGTCAAAAGAGAAGTGTCGTCTGCCCAGGTAAGGATGAAACATTCTGTATGAACGAAAAACTGCAGCAGCGCTCGTTTAGTTCTGGAGGTCAGGTCCTGGTTTTGTTGCAATGGCTAATTTGCCGTTTCTGGAAAAACATTCCGGGCTTTTTCATGTGCTGGCTCAAGGGACTGACCAGAATTCTCTCCTGTCCACACCGAAGCATAGAAGAAGAGCTCCTAGTTTGTTTTGGGTTTGCCTGACTGGTACTATGCTGTTTGCCTCTGGTCTTTTAGATCTTACTCTGTCCCTCTTAAATTGCTTTTTCAGGCGCTGGAGTTGCTGAGTGGGCAGGGGAAGGTTTGTTGGCTGGTTTTTGAAAAGGAGTATAGACGTCAGTCTGGAGTTTTTTGAAGGCTAATGTAGCTGTATTGTTTTGGTGAGAAGAGGGTCCTGTTGGGTAGCCTGGGTTGACGGTGTTCCTAGTGGAACTCCTTTCTTTATGGGGGGGAGTGTGACGACCCCTCCACACCATTAGGTGTTCCGTGGTCTCTCTCTCTCTCTCTCTCTCTTTTGTTTACAGGATCCGATGCTGGGGGGGGCCGGGCATTTACCTGATGAGCTGCACCTGGTCGAAAAGGCTAAGAAGAGAGCCCAGCGGATACGTCTCTCTCACTCCCTCTGGGCACTCTCTCCGTCGGCCAGCCTCGGGGACCTGTTGCTGGTTCCATTTACCTTGTTTGTTTATTATGAATAAACTAATTATTATATTTAAAAGAGCCATCTTTCCACCTTTCTTAAGCTCTTTTCTGTTCTTTGGTTTTAGCGCCTGGCCGACGCGCTCACACATCACTCAGAGATATATATTGTTTGTTTTTGGTACATTTATTTCCCATGTTATCGTTTCCATTTATTCACTGTTCGTTCTCTTCTTTAAACACAAATGAAGGTTATCTTACCAGGACGATGTTGAAAACAGTTTTCGTCACTTAAATAAACAATCTTCTCTTGCAGTGCAACG